AGCGTTGTTTTCTCTCTCAGAAAATTTAAAAATTCATCCTAGAGGATGGACGGAAAGAAGGAAGATAGCAGGAAAGATCGTGTGATAGAGGAACTGGACTGTGAATCAGAAGATCTGCATTCAGTTCCTAGCTCTATCATAGTCTTCCTGTGTGATGCTTGAGCAAGTTATTTAATTTCTCTGTGCCTCAGTTTCCCATCCGTAAAACTAGGATAATAATACTTCCTTTTTGCCAGTCTGATGTGCTTCGACTCTTTGGGGCAGTGATTGCTTCTCACTATGTGTTTGTTTGGTATCTAGTACACGAGGGCCCTAATCTGGATTGGGCTCTCTAGGCACTGGCCTAATATCAATAGAAAATAACAGGCACATAGAGCTGCAAGCCAGATGATTGAATCTGACTTTCTTTATATTGCATGCCACCAACCAGACACCTCACACCAAGATCAACAACCAGAATTGGATCGATTCTGAGGAATAAGGTTGTTTAATGTTAGTAAAGTAGACCAAAGTGATATTGTGCACATCAGGTTTCCGATCAAAATATAATACTGCATCTCTTTCATGTTTAATCACCATCTTTCAAAGGAGGAGCCGTTTAGAATGAGAAGTGCAACATCTCATTGCTCACTCTTAACCATGTTTAGATATTACAGTCCTCTTGTCCTCCATCTCTTTATCCATCTTTCTACAGCACTTATGTATCCAGTCCCCTCTTTGTCTATCATCCATTAAATCAGAGCTACTTTTCAGCTTATTAAGTAATTAAGCCTGTTGGCATTAATAGAAATGCATTTCAATCCCAGTTGAGATAATAATAGCAAGTAACACTTTCCTTTTATAAAATATACCAGGATTTCCCCCCATTAAGAAAGATGCCACAAGTTTTAATGTGTTTTTAATAGTACATCCTTTGTGTTTTTATATAGGGTGGAAAACAGTTTTTTCTCTTCCCTTGAACCATATACACCAAATTATTTGTATTAACTGTAAAGAACATCATAAAAATTAGTATTAATGTAACTTTTCAGGCCTGGGATGTGGCAATACAGCTGTGTGACTGGCAGTGACATAGATTACCATTAGAATTGGAAAGTGCTTTGATATAAATAAAAGGGATATTTTAACGTGATTCAGGAATCAGTGTCTTTCTCTGATCTCTCCAGCTCACGCTCAGCCATTCTTCTCCTTGATTTGAATTTCCCTGGGACTCCTCTATAGCATTCCACTTTGTGTCATTCATCAGAACTGGCTGCATCCCCCCTTACTCCTTGCTTGCTGCTGGACGTCCTCAGCTTGATCGTCTTCTGGTGTCTCCATGTGTCAGGACATATAGGACCTCCTAGAGTTGCAGCTCTATTAAGGGCAATGTGACCCTCTGGTTGACACGTCACTTTAAATAGAAACCCCTTGTTTGTATTACGTTCCCTCAGGCCAGAAAGGAACTGCCACTTCCTTTTAAATCTCTTCATTTTCTTAAGTTCAGAATGGAGGTTAATAACTGACTTATTTCCTTCATAAGAGCAGTAATCTACTTGTCTGGCTTTCCTGACAACCCTGTCTTTATCTGAGAAGCTGTGATCCTTATAATAGTATCAGTTGGCTTTGCACTGATGAACAGCCCTGTGGGATGTAATCGGTCTTTATGGGACGTTCAGGACCTTCCGCAAGGTTATCGGTGGGGGGGATGATGGATGAGAGTCCCTTCAAGGACTCTCATTATCCTATTTTCTGTTTTTTTCCACTTCATCTACAAGATGACTCTCCACTGAGCTACCCCTCCACACCTGGCATTGATCTGATTATTAATGTCTCTTTTGTTCATAGCTGCATTAGATGACACATTACTGACTGTAACTCTGTGACTGCTCCATGGCTGCATACACATCAACCACATGAAGCCTATCCGCCATCAGGCTTTATGAGGTAGAAGTCCATGTGAGTTGGGTAAAATCCACCCCTAACTTGGGGCGCAGTTGTGAGAACTTCACTGTACTTCCCTTTTTCCAGGCCTCATGCGGCTGCTACTCCAGACAGTGGGGTGGAACAGTGATTGCAGCTCTAGTAAGGGCCATGGATCCATTCCTTCATCATCTCCCTCCACACCAGATAATGGAAGGCTGGTGCCAGACTCTCTCCCCCTAGCAAAGGGATGTGGAGGCCACCGGTACAGCTGATGTCCAGTGGTTCCTCTGTGCAGTCATCCTGCAGGACATAAGTAATACAGAAGAGTTTGCACAGGCCCTCATCCTCAGGGAGAATTTCATCCCTGTGCTCATAACCACTCAAAAACAACAAGGAGTCCAGTGGCACCTTAAAGACGAACATCTGGAGAAGTAGGTTTTTTACCCACGAAAGTTTACGCCCAAATAAATCTGTTAGTCTTTAAGGTGCCACCGAACTCCTTGTTGTTTTTGTGGATACAGACTAACACAGCTATCGCCTGATACATAACCACCCAAGTCAATGATGCTAACTATGGACCACTAAGGCATCAGCCCCCTGGTTTGCAGCTCCACTCATCCCAATTAAAGTCAGTCCATAAGAGATTCAAGGTTCATTACCTAGTGCATGGGCAACATCTTCTCCAGGATACTCTGTGCTTTCAAGCCAGTACCATTGTTTGGGGTTGGGCCTTACAAGCTGCCTCAGACCAATGGCATATGGTATGATCCACATTTTCTTCTTCACATATTAGTCAGAGAGTCTGTAACAACGTGCTTGGTAGGAGGAGCACAATTTTCAGGAGGCAAGAAGTTGGAGGAGACACCAAGAAGTCGGTCTGTGTGCACACTGCTAGAATGTTAGCCAGAATTGCAGCACCTCTGTAAATGGTTGTCTTAATAAAGAACCAGCTTAGTTTTAGAAAAAATGGAGTCCATTCTTGTCATTACTCACTTGCAACATGTGAAACAAGGTATATAGCTATTTCTCCAGGTGCAGGCATTCCTGAAAATAATAGGTATTGAGAATTTTTGGAAGCAGAAATTCTCTTTTCAGTGTCCAGCTTAATAAGTCACATCACTGGTAGCCCTACCAAGATCAGATATATCTTTTCCTTCCTTCTAGGTAACCTGGTGCCATGACCTCACATTTAATATGCATTGTTTGGAGTACTGGTTAGCATTACTATTATGGTTCTGTTACATTCTCTTCAGATTCTGGAGATAAGAGAAGCCCTGGAGCCAAGTGTAGTTCACTCTTCATGTGGAAAAAATGTATACTTTTATATAGGGCAGTGTCACAGTTTGGCTGGCCCTTTAAGGCAAGCAAGGCTTAACCTTACCTATGATCTTGCAACTCTTCTCCAGCTTATGGTGGCATGGCAATGTAATGACCCCAGTAGAGAAAGGGATAGGAAAAGACTACAAACAGAATGAAGAATTCAGGAGGGGAAAGACTGCAAAGGAGGCAGGAATGTCCTGCAGATAGGAGCCCGAGGGGTGCAGGAGATTTATTAGAAGGGAGAAACCAGAGGCCTGAGAACCAAAGGGAGGCCATGTTAAGCAAAGACTATGGGAGAGCAGCACCAGGGGGCTTAGAAGTAGGAAGTGGCCAAGGGAAACAGCAGTATATCTGAAGACGCTGACCTAGCTGCTTAATACAGAATCCCTGCACGAGAACTCAGAGTACAGGGCAGGCCTGGGTTCCCCTACCAGCCACAGAGCAAGTAGGGTTGCCAGCTCTGACTGAAGCTATTCCAAGAGATTTTTTTTCCCCCAACATGACATAATGTCATTTTCTTAAAATATCCTATTAAAATCTCCCAGATTGCTTTGAATAGTCACTGGGAGATCGATGCTGATTCCAGAAGACTCCAGGCCAATTGTGGAGGGTTGGCAAACCTAAGAGCAAGGGACATGCCAGTACATCTGCAGAAGCAGGTTAGGCTCCTGGGGGTTGGGGGCTGAGGGACGGCCACTAAGAACACTTCAGTGGAGCCTGAGAGGGGCTAAAGAACTATTATTTGGATGTTTAGCTTTAGGGTGACCAGATAGCAACTGTGAAAAAACAGGACGGGGATGGGGGGTAATAGGCACCTATATAAGAAAAAGTCCCCAAAACCAGGACTGTCCCTTTAAAAACGGGACATCTGGTCACCCTATTTAGCTTGGGTCTTTCCTTACCACAGACGGGGACAGAACTTTATGTGACTTGGGCAGAGGGCTGAGCCACCAAAGACCCACTGAGAGGCCTCGGCCAGCAGGAGGCACTGGAGGACCCCTTGCAGCATCGCATCCTGAAGGGTGCTGCATATGGTGAATACACCACCTTCCAGGCATGTATTACAGAGTTTAAAGCCCTTGAATATCCTTACACACTTGCAAATAAGTTACAACATTTTTAAGTGGTTTCCTGAGTCATGACAGATGTTGCACACGGGTTTGCTAAGTTTATTTAAAAAACATTTTTCACCAGGATTGAAACAACATCCCAAGCCTCTAGCGTTCCAGTTAAATATTTTATATTAAAACTCTGGCACTTCAGCAAAACAGATCTAACCTTCAAGCTATGCAAGAGAATGCTGCTTTTCAAGGTTTGAATTAATTTTTCAGAAGGAGATTTAATGAGACTCTTACTTGGAAAAGAGAATTTTGAAGAGTAATCCCACCTCCCAAATATTCATAGGCTCCACTCTTTTTAAATATTATATTATATTCATTATTATTATTTATTATTGCAATAGAAGCCCCAGACATGGGCAGGGCCCCATTGTGCTAGAAGCTGTACAATCATAGAACAGAAAGACAGTCCCTGCCCCCAAAAGCTTAACATCTAAATATAAAATAAGAGACGACAGGTGAATACAGACAGGAGGGCATAAGGAAACGATGAGAAATAGTTGCCAGCATGACATGCAGTGGCCTCAGTGCAGCATGTTGTCACAAATAAAATAAGAGTAATCTAAATAAAATTAGCACAGATAAATAAGCAACTTGAGTCCACCATGCCAGATTCCTAATTTTAGTTAAATGTAAATAATTGTAAAACAAACTTACCTAGGATTGGAGGAACCAGTTTGGAAAATATGAACTGCTTGAATCTTTATCCATTTTTTCAACCAGCAATTCTTCTACTGTATTCTGTTGCTCTATCCCTTTAAATTAAATGAATATGTAAATCGTAAGAAGCCATTCTTTACAAGTTGCCTAGTCACCCTCATTCAAAGCAAAACCTGAAACCACTCTGACAATGCTTGAACACTCAAGTGACAGTCATATCACAGCAGACAGTTTATTTGACAGACAAAATATTATCCTCCGAGTATAGCATTTAGATTGAATTGATAAACATTCATCTAGCTACATCTAGCTACAATGTAAGTATCATAGAACATAGAATCATAGAAATAAGGGTTGGAAGGGACCCCAGAAGGTCATCTAGTCCAACCCCTGCTCAAAGCAGGACCAATTCCCAGTTAAATCATCCCAGCCAGGGCTTTGTCAAGCCTGACCTTAAAACCCTAAGGAAGGAGATTCTACCACCTCCTAGGTAACGCATTCCAGTGTTTCACTACCCTCTTAGTGAAAAAGTTTTTCCTAATATCCAATCTAAACCTCCCCCACTGTAACTTGAGACCATTACTCCTCGTTCTGTCATCTGATACCATTGAGAACAGTCTAGAGCCATCCTCTTTGGAACCCCCTTTCAGGTAGTTGAAAACAGCTATCAAATCCCCCCTCATTCTTCTCTTCTGCAGGCTAAACAATCCCAGCTCCTCAGCCTCTCCTCATAACTCATATGTTCCAGACCCCTAATCATTTTTGTTGCCCTTCGCTGGACTCTCTCCAATTTATCCACATCCTTCTTGAAGTGTGGGGCCCAAAACTGGACACAGTACCCCAGATGAGGCCTCACCAATGTCGAATAGAGGGGAACGATCACGTCCCTCAATCTGCTCGCTATGCCCCTACTTATACATCCCAAAATGCCATTGGCCTTCTTGGCAACAAGGGCACACTGCTGACTCATATCCAGCTTCTCGTCCACTGTCACCCCTAGGTCCTTTTCCGCAGAACTGCTGCCTAGACATTCGGTCCCTAGTCTGTAGCTGTGCATTGGGTTCTTCCGTCCTAAGTGCAGGACCCTGCACTTATCCTTATTGAACCTCATCAGATTTCTTTTGGCCCAATCCTCCAATTTGTCTAGGTCCTTCTGTATCCTATCCCTCCCCTCCAGCGTATCTACCACTCCTCCCAGTTTAGTATCATCCCAAATTTGCTGAAGTGCAATCCACACCATCCTCCAGATCATTTATGAAGATATTGAACAAAACCGGCCCCAGGACCGACCCTTGGGCACACCACTTGATACCGCTGCCAACTAGACATGGAGCCATTGATCACTACCCGTTAGCCGACAATCTAGCCAGCTTTCTACCCACCTTGTAGTGCATTCATCCAGCCCATACTTCCTTAACTGCTGACAAGAATACTGTGGGAGACCTGTCAAAAGCTTTGCTAAAGTCAAGAAACAATACATCCACTGCTTTCCCTTCATCCACAGAACCAGTAATCTCATCATAGAAGGCGATTAGATTAGTCAGGCATGACCTTCCCTTGGTGAATCCATGCTGGCTGTTCCTGATCACTTTCCTCTCATGTAAGTGCTTCAGGATTGATTCTTTGAGGACCTGCTCCATGATTTTTCCAGGGACTGAAGTGAGGCTGACTGGCCTGTAGTTCCCAGGATCCTCCTTCTTCCCTTTTTAAAGATTGGCACTACATTAGCCTTTTTCCAGTCATCCGGGACTTCCCGGTTCGCACAGTTTTCAAAGATAATGGCCAATGGCTCTGCAATCACAGCCGCCAGTTCCTTCAGCACTCTCGGGTGCAACTCGTCCGGCCCCATGGACTTGTGCACGTCCAGCTTTTCTAAAAGTCCCTAACCACCTCTATCTCCACAGAGGGCTGGCCATCTCTTCCCCATTTTGTGATGCCCAGCGTAGCAGTCTGGGAGCTGACCTTGTTAGTGAAAACAGAGGCAAAAAAGCATTGAGTACATTAGCTTTTTCCACATCCTCTGTCACTAGTTTGCCTCCCTCATTCAGTAAGGGCCCACACATTCCTTGGCTTTCTTCTTGTTGCCAACATACCTGAAGAAACCCTTCTTGTTACTCTTGACATCTCTGGCTAGCTGCAGCTCCAGGTGCGATTTGGCCCTCCTGATAACATTCCTACATGCCCTAGCAATATTTTTATACTCTTCCCTGGTCATATGTCCAACCTTCCACTTCTTGTAAGCTTCTTTTTTATGTTTAAGATCCGCTAAGATTTCACCATTAAGCCAAGCTGGTGCCTGCCATATTTACTATTCTTTCGACTCATCGGGATGGTTTGTCCCTGTAACCTCAACAGGGATTCCTTGAAATACAGCCAGCTCTCCTGGACTCCTTTCCCCTTCAAGTTAGTCCCCCAGGGGATCCTGGCCATCGTTCCCTGAGGGAGTCGAAGTCTGCTTTCCTGAAGTCCAGGGTCCGTATCGTGCTGCTTACCTTTCTTCCCTGTGTCAGGATCCTGAACTCAACCAACTCATGGTCACTGCCCCCAGATTCCCATCCACTTTTGCTTCCCCCACTAATTCTACCGGTTTGTGAGCAGCAGGTCAAAAAAGCGCCCCCCTAGTTGGCTCCTCGAGCACTTGCGCCAGGAAATTGTCCCCTACGCTTTCCAAAACTTCCTGGATTGTCTATGCACCGCTGTATTGCTCTCCCAGCAGATATCAGGAAAATTAAAGTCACCCATGAGAATCAGGGCATGCGATCCAGTAGCTTCCGTGAGCTGCCGGAAGAAAGCCTCATCTACCTCATCTCCCTGGTCTGGTGGTCTATAGCAGACTCCCACCACTACATCACTCTTGTTGCACACACTTCTAAACTTAATCCAGAGACACTCAGGTTTTTCTGCAGTTTCGTACCGGAGCTCTGAGCAGTCATACTGCTCCCTTACATACAGTGCTACTCCCCCACCTTTTCTGCCCTGCCTGTCCTTCCTGAACAGTTTATAACCATCCATGACAGTACTCCAGTCATGTGAGTTATCCCACCAAGTCTCTGTTATTCCAATCACATCATAATTCCTTGACATCACCAGGACCTCCAGTTCTCCCTGCTTGTTTCCAAGGCTTTGTGCATTCGTATATAAGCACTTGAGATAACCTGCTGATCGCCCTCATTCTCAGTATGAGGCAGGAGCCCTCCCCTCACAGACATTCCTGCCTGTGCTTCCTCCCCGGTATCCGCTTTCCCACTTACCTCAGGGCTTTGGTCTCCTTCCCCCGGTGAACCTAGTTTAAAGCCCTCCTCACTAGGTTAGCCAGCCTGCTCGCGAAGATGCTCTTCCCTCTCTTCGTTAAGTGGAGCCCGTCTCTGCCTAGCACTCCTTCTTGGAACACCATCCCATGGTGAAGAATCCAAAGCCTTCTCTCCGACACCACCTGCGTAGCCATTCTTATTCTCATGGTGTCTCAGGAATACCTGGAACACCTCTGGATTCCAATATGTCAAGTCATTAGTATATGTAGCATAGTCAAGTTTACAATATTTAATGTCGGGTTTCAGAGGAACAGCCGTGTTAGTCTGTATTCGCAAAAAGAAAAGGAGGACTTGGTTAGTCTCTAAGGTGCCACAAGTACTCCTTTTCTTTTTGCGAATATTTAATGTGCTTGCTTTGTTGCCAGGAAAGATGCCTCAATATGTTTTTTGGTGCGTACTAGCTAAACTACTTGTATAGCAAGTCTTCTTCACTGACCTCCCCTTGCTGGTTCCAAGATTATAGATGATTCGTTTTTCTCAGACATCACAATGCAGTGACAGAGACAAATGAAGCATTCATAGATAGGGCCCTACCAAATTCACAGTCCATTTTGGTCAATTTTGCGGACCTAGGATTTTAAAAATCGTAAATGTCATGAATTCAGCTATTTAAATCTGAAATTTCACGGTGTTGTAATTGTAGGGGTCCTGACCCAAAAAGGAGTTGGGAGGAGTCGCAAGCTTATTATGCGAGGGGGGGGGTGCAGTACTGCTACCCTTACTTCTGCGCTGCTGCTAACGGCGGTGCTACCTTCAAAGCTGGGCAGCTGGAGAGCGGCGGCTACTGGCCGGGAGCCCAGCTCTGAAGGCAGAGCCGCCGCCAGCAGCAGCGCAGAAGTAAGGTTGGCATGGTAGGGTATTGCCACCCATACTTCTGAGCGGCTAGCTGCAGAGCTGTGTCCTCAGTCAGCAGCTGCCACTGTCCGGCTGTCCAGGTCTGAAGGCAGCAGCTCAGAAGTAAGGATGGCATGGTATGGTATTGCCACCCTTACTTCTGCAGTGCTGCTGGTGGGGCGCTGCCCTCAGAGCTGGGTGCCTAGCCAACATCCACCACTCTCTGACTGCCCAGCTCCAAAGTCAGAGCAGAAGTAAGGGTGGCAATACCGCAACCTCCCTGAAATAACCTAGTGACCCCCCTGCAACTCCCTTTTGGGTCAGGACCCCCAATTTGAGAAACACTGGTCTCCCCCTTGAAATCTGTATAGTATAAGGTAGAAGCACTCAAAAGACCAGATTTCATGGGGGGAGACTAGATTTTGTGGTTCGTGACACGTTTTTCATGGTTCGTGACACGTTTTTCATGGCCGTGAATTTGGTAGGGCCCTATTCATAGAAAGTCACAACTTAGTTGTAAGCTGTTCTGGAGTGACTTTTTAATAAGTTTTTCTGCAGTGCCTAGCACAACCAGGCCCCTGATACTTCTGACTGGAGCCCTTTGATGCTACCATGATATAGTTAATAAACAGAAATAATAATTAATTGCCCTACAAATATGCAGCCCAACCTGACCTCCAAGGATTCAGGGGATTCCATCTAAATGTCATTGGGGATGGTCTTCATTAAGTGCTAGAAGTGGACCTACTAATGATAGAGAATTCTTCTGGCCTCTCCAATTTTGGCTTCCCTACACAGGGTGGATCTGCTCTCACTGGCAGCTAGGCAGTTTGTCTATCCCTGATTGGGACCAACGTGGGCTGTTCACACTCACTCCCCACCAGGCACGGCCAATTTCTACCTCCACTCACTAGACTCACTTTGCTCTTGGTGACCATCTGCCTCACTCTAACCCCTAGAAACCCATCCTTTCACCCACCAACTTTTAGTCTTTCCCTTGGCTTGGTGCTTTCCATTGCTGGGCTAGATTACAAAAGGCTGTCCCTTGCTGCTCTTCCTTTTTGCTTTTTGTGCTCACTTTTCTGTTCCCCTTTCTCCTCTTCTTATCTCGCCTGCTTAGGCCACCAGAGTAAGCTAGGTGCTTCTGGTTAGCCTTACATGGGAGATGGAGAGATGCAGCCAAGTCCTCAAGCTCCTGTTCCTTTTCCTGTGAAAACACAAAACTGAACGAAACATCAGGGGTGTTGTGACTCAGTAAAACTGGCTCTTTCCCAATTGGCTATTTTCCGCTGGTTTCTCACAGATTGTTGGCTGACCTGACACTTAGGTAGCCCCTACTGTGAGGAGCCAATGCTCAAAGAAAGGACATTCTGTCCACTGAGGTCAGGGCTGTCGCCCATCCTTCTACAATGCTACTTAGAAGTCACCACCCACAGCCCCAGCATGGTTCATTTTCCTCTAGAATCCTGCAGATTCTAGTAAGCAGTGAGGGGAGGAGGAGAGACAGGAGGAGCCAAAATGTGGAAACCACTCTGCAGTCTCCGCAAAGGGAGGGTGAAGCTCCAAGTGGGGTTTAGTGTTTAAAAGGTCTGAGCACTGGGGCCTTGTGGAAAAGATTCTGGGCCTTACTGCTCTAAAAAGGTACAGTAGGACTGCTGCCCTCAAACTGCACTGGGGAGAATAGGCAGAGCAGGCTGTCACTCAGAGAAGAGCAATGTAGCTGACACATGCCCCAAATCACCGCAGTGGGGAATGGAGCTGCCAGCAACATCAGAAGAACAGAAGGGAGGGAAAGTGCCATCTCCAAGCTGGATAGAAGAAAAGCAGATGTGAGAGGCAGTTCCTTGAAAAGGTATAGAGGCCAGCTGTCTGTCTCTCCTCGCATAACTTTTTAGTGTGTATTTATCAGTGTTTTTACATACTTTAAAACTGAAGAAACCAGATTCAGATTTATTCAAAGAACAAGCTGATACCTGCATTTGCTCGGGCAAGTGGTGGAATCAAAAAGTCACAGCCGCATGTGTTGATGACCACAAAGGTAATTCCAAAATTTTATTCCAAAATGTCAGCCTAATCCTTATCCCCATCTTTGGCTGCTCCTAGGCTTGGTCGTTCCTATCCCAAAGGCTGAATTCCACTTCCATTACATGCCGGACAGGGTCTAATGAGTCAAACCTGCCCCAGTGGGCCAGTGGTAATTGACCTGGAACTCCTTATTGAGTTCCATCAGCTGAAACCAGAGTTGAGCAGCAGGAGACATCTGATATCCACTTACATCCTGGAATTCAGTTCCTCTAGCTGGAAGGGTGAAGGGCGAAGTCAAATCCAGATACCCCCTCCCCATCCCTCCACCACTCTACAAGACAATGAAAGTCTGTCTGACATATCCAGCTCAGATACAGAAAGGGCTAAAAGCACAAATGTTCAGCATCTTTTGAGAGGAGATTAGAACCTTTCATGGTCAGGCACATAAGACCGTCTTATTCTGTACATCTTGAATCCAGCTATTCCGAATCGCCTTAGCCTCCTGGAATGGGAAGCGACACCTTTATGGTCAGGTTAGCTTGATTAAACTCTAATCTCTACAGTAAGACAGGAGCTCTGGGTATCTCTGGCTGTTCATTTAAATAAAAAAAAATAGAACTTGTTTTTCAAACTAAATTATCCTTTAACTTCATGAAGTTAAATCAGAAGCTGGATTTTCCCCAGTGACATGTCCACTGGCAGCATAAAAAGAATAAATTACTAAGCATGAAATTGCCCCAGTCTGCTGAGGACTGCTTCAGAAGTGGGGCCCAGTGGCTGGAAGACTAGCTACGCTCTTTGATTTCCGTGGAAGAAACAAAATCCTGCTGTGACATTAACCTGCATGTCTGGCTTTATTACCTAAATTATCATAATCCTCCTAATCAGCATCTGAGTGCTGAAGGAGCTGCAAGGACTTAAAAATCAAGATGCCAGGAGAGTTGCAAATGCATAATGTCTGGAACAGCCTCCTGTTTATCTTGCCTCATCACTGCATAGAACATTAAGCTATTCTTACCTCTTTTTTTTTTTTTTGAGCCAGACTGATGGGATAATCATGTGACACCTTTTCGGAGTCCACTTAACTTAATTGGACTAAATGTCCTTTTGCAAGAGGCAGGTGATGTTCAAGAAGGCCTGGAAGAGACACTACCTGATGTAAAGTAGCTGATGCAGATGAGAAGTCGCTCGTTGCACAGTCCAGTGGGTTGGAGGTGAAGCTCACATTCTTTGTCAAACTCCACAGACTTGGCAATAGCCCCTCCTGCTCGCTCTCTCAGGAACCCAGCTTTCTAAACAGTACTCATAACTGGTGGTAAGAGGATCTGCATCTGTGTGGGCTAAGCACATTGTGCGGTTAGGGCTGTATCTTTCCATAGGGTATTAAGCTCAAATGGGAGGTTATGACTGGGAACATTTTGACCAAATTGTAATTGTTTTCCTCTCTTTAAAAATAAGGAATAGTGAAAGGCCTGATCCTAAGTGCATTAAAGTCAAACTTCAATGGGTTTTTGGAAAAGGTGTCCTGTTAACGTCTCTGAAGATGCTGTGCTGATGCCCTTGGAGACTGAAATCCTTTATCCAAATGGAAAATGGAACAGGAGCAGGAGCAGCAGTGCAGGATTCCCCATGCAGTCTGCCAAAGAGCCTCAACTGTGCTCTAGAGCAGTGGTGGACAACCTGTGGCCTACCATCAGGGTAATCCGCTGGCGGGCCACAAGACAGTGTTTACATTGACTGTCCACAGGCACGGCCATTTCCCACAGCTCCCATTGGCCAGGAACGGCGAATTATGGCTACTGGAGCTGCGGGAAATGGCTGTACCCGCAGACAGTTGATGTAAACACTGTCTCGAAGCCTGCAAGCGGATTACCCTAATGGGCCACGTGCAGCCCGCGGGCCACAAGTTGCCCACCACTGCTCTAGAGGAAACAGTATAAAGATGAGAGGACAATCCAGTCTCCATAGCCACTGAGTCCTTGTGTCCTCCGTCAGGCTGCCAACAATGGTGCAGGTCAGTGCTGACTGCTGTGCTCTTTTGGTGATATAAACACTGTCAAGCAGGAATGTATTAGCCTTGTGTATTGCAGTAGTGACTGGAAGTCCCAGCTGAGACTGGAGCCTTATTGGGCCAGGTGCTGTGCAAATACAGAGTAAGAGATATTTTCTGCCCCAAAGAGTCTATAGTTTAAATAGACAATACTGATGAAGGCTGAGAAAAAGAATATGCTATGATCCCTCTTTTACAGTTTGGGAATTGAGGACCAGAAGTTTCTGGAAGAACTAGGGAATGCAAGTACTAGCAATCTGGCTTCTAGAACCAATCTACCTCTTATCCCCTGTACACCACCAGTACATCCACCCAAGAACAACCAGAGTTTGACCTAATATGTCCAAACTAAACTCTTATGAGACTGGCTTGCCGAAACACATGCGACAATACTGATCTACCACAGCATGTATGGAATCCAGGAGTCCACACTCCCATGTACAGAATACACCTGCCTGGTTGCCCACCAGACATGGACAGATGATGGTGATAAACGGTAGTTATCAGGGCTGACGATGTGTGAACTAAAAGATACAGGGCTGAGGAACTGTTTGGAGAATCATCCAAAAGTAGGGTCTGACCATAAAATATGAGTTTAACCCCCCCACCACCACCACCCCTGCAACCCAACAGACCTTACCTTAGCATTTCATAACTCTGAAAAGCATTTCTCTAAACTTGTTGCTAAATATGGATGAGAGTTTGAGGGGGTTCTTATTCCCTAGAAGCAGCTCACCTGTCCCTTAGCCATACCTTGCTAAATACAAGGCAGTTTTAAAGAGAAAGGGATACCCTCTTTTCAAAGGAACCAGCCTGACTAGCTGAAGGTTTAGTAGTCTGGTATAGAATCCACTCTTGCACCAATCCCTATGACTTTCCCCCTATTTACTCTGATCTACTCTAATCCTTTTTTAGTGCCCTCATCATGCCATTGATGCACCAGGTTTGAATCATTCCCTGATTTGGACAGAGTGCAAATCATTTGCCGTTCATAAATAATTTAAAATATCTAGCAGCAGTGGCAAGCGCAGGAAACACAGATTTTGCTGTAAAGAGACGGGGCACACAGGAGCAAGGGGAGGAATCTATTCTTAGCCATTGTGTCTTGTGTATTACAAAATCCAAAAGTTACATGTGGATTTCCCCCGTCCTACCCTCCTCCACAAAATAAATAATTGAAAAAAATACTTACTGACTGTGCCCGCTGCAGAAAGGACAGAGCTTGCATTGGTAACATGTCCACTCCTGCACCTAGTACTGGAGTCTGGATTGGCAGAGGCTATATACAAGAATGGAGAGATCCGCCACTCTGCACCATAAGGTGATGCAGTACACTGTAGAATAGTGTATTAGCTTAGGGAGATACCACCTGACCCTCACAGTGATTACAATGGAAGTGTTGTTTCTACTTTTCATTATCTCCCTTTAAATTAGGCACTGTTCACAGTTACTTGGAGCTAACACATGAGCAAGTGAAATTCACAGATGGTGTCACATGGAGAAGGAGCATATTACTGGATGCTAATGTAGTTCGGATTGCATTTGGCAGGCAGACACACATTCTGGGGTGTTCGGTTTGTATCTTAAGGCTTCTTCTTAGACTGAATTATTATCTCAGATATGTCTGTAGCTTCCAGGAGCAGCTGCCAATGTTGCTGTAGCATTACTTTTCAGAGCTGTTATATATTCTGTAACAATAACGATAGCGAGAGATGGACAAGTATTGTCCAGGATTTTGTGGTGGTTGTTTTTAAATGGCGAACTAACGCTTTTGGATCCTCAATTTCAAAAGTTCCTTCTTATTTCAGGTGCCAGCTTTAGATTCCCGATGGCTAAATTTTCAGAGATTCTGAGCAATTGTATATCCAGTTGAGGGCCACGAGAACTGTGGGTGCTCCAGACCCCTGAAAATCAGCTCCCCGCCTCTCCTCCCCACACCGTGTTAAAATTTGAACACCCAAAAAATTAGCAGTCCCTTTGAAAAAACAGATCCTATGTGACCTGTGTCAAGAATATGCATCAGAGGCAGAGATGGGAGTGGAATTCAGCCCTCCCATCTCCCTGGCTCCCATATAGACCATCGGACAATGATAGGCACTGTGTTGCTCTTATTTGATTTCCAAATACTGCTATTAGGTCAAACCATCTTGAACTTCAAGAGAGTTTGGATCTGAATATCAAGGGCTTAGACCTCTTTTAGAATAGACCCAGTCAATTATTATTATTATCCCTGGCTTTGGCAGGCACTTTCATCCCTCTTTGTTCCCCTCTATTTGGCATTGGTGAGGCCTCATCTGGTGTACTGTGTCCAGTTTTGGGCCCCATACTACAAGAAGGATGTGGAAAAATTGGAAAGAGTCCAGCGGAGGGCAACAAAAATGATTAGGGGGCTGGAGCACATGACTTATGAGGAGAGGCTGACGGAACTGGGATTATTTAGAATGAGGGGGGATTTGATAGCAGCCTTCAACTACCTGAAAGGGGGTTCCAAAGAGGATGGATCTAGACTGTTCTCAGTGGTAGCAGATGACAGAACAAGGAGAAATGGTCTCAAGTTGCAGTGGGGGAGATTTAGCTTGGATATTAGGAAACACTATTTCACTAGGAGGGTGGTGAAGCACTGGAATGCATTACCTAGGGAGGTAGTGGAATCTTCTTCCTTAGAAGTTTTTAAGGTCAGGCTTGACAAAGCCCTAGCTGGGATGATTTATTTGGGGATTGGTCCTGCTTTGAGCAGGGGCTTGGACTAGATGACCTCCTGAGGTCCCTTCCAACCCGATATTCTATGATTCTATGATTATCCTCATAATTTTGGCCATAGTACCTAGGAGCCCTAGTCATGGACCAAGACCCCATTGTACTAAGAGCTGTGCAATCCCAGAACAAAAAAAATAGTCCATGTCCCAAAGCTTTTACAATCTAAGCATAAGCCAAGAAACAACAGATGGATACAGACCAGTGGGGAAGTTCAAAGAAATGATGGGACAATATGGCTCAGCATCATCAGAAGTGATATCAGAGCACCATTCTTTTAAATAGTCTCCAGCTTTTTTATAAGCATCAGGATGAAGGAAAGTTTTAGGGAGGGATTTGAAGGAGAATAATGAGCTTCTCCCATACATGAGGGGCAGCATGAGAGAAAGCACAAGGTGCTTGTTTCCAAATGTAATCAGTAGGTGTTAGAGCCTGGTACCATTGGCAGGTCAGAGGTGGGAGTCAACATTTCAGCAGTAAACAAGGGATAATAGGTAGGGTAGGGATAAGCCATACAGGGTCATCAAACTCATGTTTGATGCAACAGAGAAGGGGGAGCCAACAGAGGGATTCAAAGAGAGGGGTGACATGGTCAAAGTGATAGGCTAGGAGAATGATCTTTGCAGCAGCATTCAGAATAGAAATGAGTGGGGCAAGGTTGCATTTATCAAAGCCAGAGAGAAGGATGTTGCAGTAATCAAAACATGAGATGATGAAAACCAGATCTAGAATTTTGGTGCCAAATGCTTCCAAATTTGGGGAGAGTTTGGAGCCAGATTAGGCTCATCTCCAGTTGTTCCCAGAGAATTTTGTTCTGAAACTTCTTCTATTTTTTGTGACTTCTTTTGGCCTCTTTGTCTTTACTCTGCTTTCTTCATGTGAAACAGCTGGCTCAGCATGAGAGGGTGTTTTTAGAGTGAATCAATAGCTCAGCTGAGCCATTGATTTGCTCTGACAAGATTTCCCCATGCAGCTCACATGGCAGGACAAGAGAGAACATGATGAAAGGAGAGCAATTTGGAGTGTGAGAGTTAATACAACAGAATTGGTGGGGGAGGTGAGAAGTGGAGAAGTAACAAGATAAGAGTTTGTTCTACATTGAACCAAAGCCGAGACTTTAAAATGGTGATGATCAGTCGCTGCCTTTACTGCAGGAGGAAGGAAGAGGAACTTGAGCTGGTATCTCTTCTGAACAAGATTCCTGCACTTCCGCTGATAGAAATGTATGTGCCAAGAATGTAACAAGTACCCTTACTGAATCTGACTTTCCTGTTATCACAGGCAATATGGGAATGAGTGAGGGTGGACAAAACTGGTCTTATCCCACTACATGACTGCAGAGTGCCATAGTGATGGGGAATCAGGTTCTCCGATCCCTGAGGTTTAGGGCCTATCTATCTCAGGGGTTCTCAAACTGGGGGTCTCAAGGTGGTTACTTCAGGGTCGCGAACTGTCAGCTCCATGGGCTGACAGCCCTGAGACACCATTAAATTAAATTACCCCCTCCTCCCATTTTAACTTATAAGAGGGGTCACACTCAGAGGCTTGCTGTATGAAAGGGGTCACCAATACAAAAAGTTTGAAAGCCACTGATCGATCTAATCTAATCTAATCTATCTATCTATCTATCTATCTATCACACATCCAGGAGCTTCTGAAATTTAGCAGTTAGTAAGATCAAACTCAATTTAAATGTTTCCATGTTTTTACTTATTTTAAATTCATAAAGACCAATGATCAATCAATTATAACACATTATTTTTATCCTTAATTAAAAGCAATGTTGACCCACTGGTTGCACTTTTCCAAACTTCACTCATGACACTGAAGCCAAGCACGGAAACTCTCTCACATACATGAAACTATACATGTTGTTAAAAATTGTCCACTGTTAGGATCTGAGAAGGTGTAGGACCTGCTGTCAGTGTTCTTTGATCATAGGTACATGTTACTTGCCAGCTCACCTAAGAAGCCTCTTGCCTCCTTCACTGTATATGCAGTAAGGATCTGACCCAGACCCTTGATGTCTTTCCATTGACCTTAGTGAGTTTGGATCAGGTCCTAAATGAGGCAGAGCACTGTTGGCTCTGATACCTATATGATTGTTCTTACAGAAAACATTATGGCTTGGTATAGGATAAATGTTTTCCTGGGACTTCTTTGGGGTGACCTGCATAGCTGGGTTCTTCACTCAGCCATCTCAAGTTTAGACAAATGAAACCTTTATACCACACTATTATTTTTTCTAGCTATATATTATTATCCTTATATTGTCTGTCAGCATTAGGGGTGGGGTTTTCAAAATGCTCAATAATATCCCACTGAAAGTTAAGCATTGACTTCAAATGGGAGCAGAGTTAGGCCACTAACAGTGAGCAGTTTGGAAAGCCCACTCTTAATATTTTACCCACATCTTTGTTTTGAAACTCTGGCTTCCATTCAGTTTAATGAGTTTACTCTGCGGCTTCCCCAGTGACAGGGGTTGCGGCTAATCAAGCTGGTCTTCTAAGTGAAGATATAAAACAGCAACATACTCATTCCCTAGTCATACACCTGGATATGAATTGCAGATATTTCTGCCTTTTATTTCTTGTGGTTTCTAGATGGTACTTTATAATGTATAGCACTTACCCATTTTTATAACTTATTTAATTTCACAATGTCCCAGGAATACTTTAAAATATGTAAACAGAATAGGGGGGAAAACATGCTGCTACATTCAGTGAGGTTTGTGTGTACCTTCTCCTATCCCTTTTAACCAGTGGAGGGATTTTACTGCATGCTACTGAATAAATTACATGTTTAATACAATAGAATTTGTGTTGGCTTTGGAAGAAAAGTGAAAGCATATTTACATGAGGTTAAAGCAGAGGTCACTGTGAAAACAGGTTGCTTTATCTAGAGTAATCTAAATTGAAGAAAAGAGAGAAGAAAAATAACAAAGGATACCAATTTAGATGGGATTTTTGGTTTCTTTTCTCATTAAAGAGTGATACAGTGTCCTCCTGGGTATGTCTACACTGCTGCTGGGAACATGCTTCCCAGCCCTGGTTCTAGCTCTGCTTGGACTAGTGGGCTAAAAATAAGACCATGTATGTTATAGCATGGGCAGCGGCATGGGATAGCCTCCCTAGTACGGCACCCCCCGGCTCTGAACTTGGGTGGCTAGTCTGTGCCTCTGTACATGCTACATCCACACTGCTAATTTTTTTAGCACACTAGCTTGAATATCTGTCTACTTGGGCTGTGAGACACTCCTAGCTGGAGTGTAGACACACAGTAAGAGGCAGTAAGTAAATGGGGACCTCACGGGATAAGATTAATGCAGAAATAGCAGTAGAGGGTTTAGACCAAGTAAATCAATCAGGATCAAGTGAAAGCCACCCCGAGACTATTAGAGAGATAGCATAAGAGATTACAAACCCCATTAGTGTACAGGATTGTACGCCTATACTGTGCTGGAAATGGGATTACTCATCCTCCAAAATCTTCATGGGCTTCCTAAAAGGCCTGGACAGTGGGGAAGGATAATTTAATGGTAATGTGGAGATCTCGGTTCTATTCCCAATTTATCCACTGAGTAACTTTAAGCAAATCACTTGATCTTTCTGTTCCCAAGATTCTTTCCCCGTGAAATAAGGCTAATGAAGTTGAG